ATATATAGAAGTTTCTTTTCTATAAAATGAAAATGGTAAGACTTATTTTTCAGATATTAGATTTGGCAAGTCTAGAAGATGAATAAAATCTTCAGTGCAGCTTCTTCTGTAAAAAAGCAAGAGGTAGGCAATCAGATAATTTTGTCCTATCATTTCTAATTATTATGGATCCTGTTCCTTTTTATTGTGTTATTACATTGTCTAGCAAAAAAGGCAGAATGCTATCAGAGATGACAGACTTCCTTTCCTGTTCCCTCACCTAATGAGAATGCCTTTGGCATTTCATGGATGAATACCATGTTTGCTGTTAGATTCAGATGATACCTTTCTTCAAATTAGTCAGTTTTGAAAAACCATCCTGTACCTGCCCACCTGTCTAGACACCCTTCCGGTTGTTTCCCCCGCACACTGGCTACATGGCAGACAAAAGAAACTCAGGCTCTTTTGTGCACCATGTCTTTGTATTTCCTCCTCTTTATTCCAGGAACATCCTCCCCAACTTTCAAATATCTCTCAGCTTAAAGAGAACCAGGTAAAATTGTAGTTTCTTTTAGTCGGAGTACAAAAGGAAGAAGGTTCCTGCTTCTCTTCCCATTTGGAAGGATATCAGAGAAAATGCCTCCATTACCCTTCTCCTTCCTTTTAATTGCTCTCTCCCAGTTGAGAGGTGACCCCTCTGCTTGTACCACTCCCATCACTGGGTAGGGTAACTGTTCTTAAAGGCAAGGCCCCAGAGTTCCACCTTCTTTCACTTCCTGTGCTCAGGGTGCTCCTGTGTATTTGGCCCACCCTGTGGCAGGGCACCCCATTGGGGGAGAGAGATGGGGAACTGTTATTCTTTTTATTCCCAGTTTCTCCACTGTGACAGGATGGGTGGGTCTGATGACCTTCGTTCTGGGAGTTCTATTCAGTTCAGTGAAGAGGCAGGAGGACTAGGTCTCCCTTAGGCCTGGGGTTTAAGCCATTTTCAAATCCATTTCTTACCAAAGCTTTGCATTATGATATAGAGTTCCTTGGACATACTTCTATTGGTATGAATCCTAGTGGGTGAGGGATCCCTAGACCCTTAACCCTGGCACTATGAGCTCTCCTCAGACATCTTCTAGATAAATGAATGAACTGACGCATGCATCCCAGGCTTTCTCCTCTGTAATAACAGCTGTTGTTCACCGGGCACCTTCTATGGGCCAAGCACTGCTGTCTCATTGCATCCTCCCAACAACCCTATCAAATAAATCTTACCATGTTCATTTTATAATAAAAGAAGTCTTGTGTATCACCACCATGTTAACTATGCTAGAGCAAATCTCTGCTTTAAAAAAAGGAGCAGCTCCCCATTCCTCAGGATCTCAGCCCAGCCTTGGTGGCCTTCCTCTGGCTCACTCACTGCCAGCTCGGAACCTGATGTGCCTCTGTGTCATCAGGGTCATGGCTCTCTGAAGACACTAAGGAACGATCCTTTCTTGCCTCTTGCAACTTCTGGTGGCCAGGATGTTCTCTGGCTTGTGGCAGTATCTCTCCAATCTCTGACTCCACTTTCCCTTGGCCCTCTTTGGGTGTCTGTGTCCTTTTCTTTGAAGATGACAGTCATCAGATTTAGGGTCCATGCTAAGTTGAGGATGATTTCATCTTGAGGTCCTTAACTAATTACGTCTATAAAGACCCTCTTTTCAAATAAGGTCGCATTCTTAGGCTCTGAGTGGACATGAAATTTTGGGAAATACTATTCATCTCACTACAATCAGCATACAAGTTCTAAGCTGTATAGCTACAGTAATTTAAGGGAGTAAAACGGACTATTCTCCCTTGTTCAAGCCGTTATCATCTGGCGCCTCTGAAACCATATTCTAACTGCTAGAATCAATCTGGGAGTACATGTCTGGAGAAGGCTGCTGAGGATGGCCTGGGGTGACTGTCTGGCCCACTCAGACATGGCAGGACTCTTCTCCAGTGACCATATTATTGGACTACAAATGGACACTTGACCCAAGCTAAACCAATAATACTCTTTTCAGGGGATTGAGATTTTAGGGAATCAGACTAAAAGCCAATACCTGAACTTCTCTCCTGAATTGAGGAAAAATTAATTTATGGGTTGTGGGATAGTGACCTTCTATTTATCATCAGGAGAGAGAAGCAGAGAAAACCAGTCTTTGTCTGGGGAAAATAAAACAGATGGTCAAATATAGGCAGAGGTAGAGTCTAACAGTCTGGATGGATCTCATTCTTGGTTCCAGGCCAACGGGAGGCCGAGCCATAGTTATGCCCTCAGGTTCAAGACAGTGTTAGCAATAGATACTGAGTGTTCACCCTGGGCCGGACCATGTGCTTGACCTGCATTGTATTGGTCACCATATTTCATCCTAGATGGATGCAGTGGCACATACCTATAACCCCAGCACATGCAGGAAGATAGCAAGTTTGAGGCCAGCCTGGGCAACTTAGCAATACCTTGCCACAGACTGAAAAGCAACTGGGCCAACTCTTCACGATGGGGAAGACCAACATATTTTTCTCTCTCCTTACTCAGTGCTATATAAAATTTCCCTACATTGCTTCTTACTTTTAAAAAAATGTGGCAAAATATACATAATATAAAATTTACCATGTTAACCCTTTTCAAGTGTCCGGTTCAGTGGTCTTTATGTTGTTGTGCAACCATGACACCGTTCATATCCAGAATTTTTCATCATCTCAAATGGAAACTGTGTTCATTAAATGCTAACTATCCATCCTCCCTGACTTCATATAGGTGGAATTATATAATGTCTGTCCTTTTGTGACTGACTTATCTCACTTAGTACAATGTCTTCAAGGAGGTACCATCAGTATTGTATGTTGCAGTCCATTGGCTAGATCTAGTCCCATCATGGCCTCAAATGAACTACAAGGAGGCCAGGAAAGGTAAGGGAGGTGATTCATGGTACACATTTGCCACATGATAAATTATCTTTTTGCCTAAGTTAGGTTGACTTGGCTACAGTTTCTTGCAAACAAAGAATTAGAATCATACCCATTCTACACAAACAGCTCAACATCTAGTGAATGGAGGGAGCTCATCACTAGGGGGTTCTTTATTACTAATTGGCAATATTCCTTTTTTTGTGTGTGTATGGTGCTCGGGTTTGAACCCATGGCCCAGCACATGCTAGGCAAGTGCTCTACCACCAAGCTACTCCCTCTGCCGCTCTAACTAGTAATATTCTTGGTGCTGATTTTCAGAATTAAAATTATAGAATGTTGGCATTAAAAGAACCCTAAATCCAGAATTGACTCAATCTTCTAACTTGACTTTCTGTAGACAACCTATTTTGGGGGGTCAATATTATTAGACAAAGTGTATTAAGCATTTAGGATGCATCAAGAACTGTGAGAAGCCAGGCATGGAGGCACATGCCTGAAATCCTAGGAAAATGGGAGGCTGGGGCAGGAGGATTGAAGTTCAAGGCCAGCCTGAGCAATTTAGTGAGTTTGACCACCCAAGGCCTGGGGATGTAGCTCAGTGGTCCAGCACTTGCCTAGTATATGTGGGGCCCTAGGTTCCATCTCCTGTACCACAGAAAAATATTTAAAAAGAAAACTAAAATAAAAGAAGTGTGGGGGCTGCTGGGGCACAGAATTTGACAAAAATTTAATCCCATTCTATTGGTAGAAAACCTCATCTTTCTTGTGTTGATAAACATTACTTGTTCACCCATGGCCTCAATGTTCTATTGTTGGATTGTGATCATGAGGGAAATCTATGAGTATATCATGAGTGTATTTTTGACTTGTATAATTTCACTTCCTTTTGCTTTCGCAATACTTTCACTATTGGTAATACTGTACAGAAATTTCCCCTTTTCTTCACTTCTTTATATTTCTCTTTTCCATAGAGTTAAATAATAAGGGTGCCACATTTCATAAGCTTGTATGAAATTGTCTGCCACCTACTCAGAAAAATGACTCCTCAAAGATTTTATGCACCACAATAGCTTCTAGGTCTATCCTTGATGACCCAGCGGCTGCATTTGACATGACTGTGCAGCACAAGAGATGAGCCAGCATGGCCCGGCTGGGAAAGTTTCCTCTCTGGATGTGACATTAGGTACAAAAAAAAAAAAAATGGAATTGAAGCTGTGACAAAGTATTTATGAGTAGGGTTCTGCCGCTGGGTTCTCCCACAAACAAACTGCATTCAGCAAATTCCTTAAATTCTCTAAGTCTTAGCCCTTTATCTATAAAATGATGCTGCTAAAAGAACTGAAAGTCCCTTTTCACCTTAAATGTCTACGCTTTTCTGATTCTAGAGAGAACCATAAGGAAGAGACAGGCAAGCAGCTGGGACAACTAGGAAGCTGGAGAAAGAAAATGGGAGAAAAGGAAAATTCCAAGGACAAAGAAGGCAATAAACATAATTCGGAACAGCAGGTGAGGGAGCCAAGCAAAACAGGTTAAAAGAGAAAATGACAGCAAGCCTGCAGCGTGCTCGGGTCTGCAGTGACCCTGCTGCATTCCTACGGTGCTTGCCAGGACACTTTTGAAATGGTTTGAGGCCTTGCCCTGCCCTCTCCAGAGCAAGTTTATAGAAATTCCAGACAATTAACTGCGCCTTTCCAAGTATGGCAGTTGCTGAATACCCTGGGCCTGCTGTTGGAAAAGTCTTCCCAGGTCTCATGTTTCTGGAGTTGGGGAGTCTTTATGTTTTCTGCTGGCGTCATAAAACTGCCAGGCTACCTTGTTAGCTGCAAGGAGGAGCATCTCAGACTTTCCAGTTCCTGACAACTACCACTCCCTGGGTCCCTGGCCCAGCATGGAGCAGAAGGCTTACTGCTGTTCCGTGGCTGTGATGCCAGGATGCCAGAGCTGAAATCCCTTCTGTGGCTCCTAGGCTGGTCTGTGGCACCTGTGTGGTATGACATGGATACTCAGAAGTAAGGCCTGACCTGCCAAGGTTGACACCTAGTGAGAAGTGAAGCAGGATTTGAACCTTAATTGAGCAGATTTGAAGCCTCACTTACTTCTAAAAGGAATCAGCAGTATCTTGTTCTTGGCCTGGGCTATGTGTCGGAGAGAACTTTCAGGCTCCAGGTTTGGGCTCCATTTTTTTCTGCCTCCAGAATAAGCGTGGCTGAAGGGCCTCAGGCTCTTCTGGCATCTCCCAAATGAAAAACAAGATATTCAATAAACATGGTTTTAAATGTGTGATGAGAGAGGGAGAGAGAGAGAGAGAGAATGAAAGATTACATGTTTATCTTAGCGTTGAAAAAATGAATCACATAAAATTTCATTTTTAAGGCAGAAGAGATAGAAGAAATCTGGTTATTTGTTTTTCTCTTGCACAAAGATGAAATCTTCAGGCCATAGGACTTGCCTCTAGAGGGTTTGGAGATCCTAAAGGAAACAAAGAGAGCTGCTGTCTGCTGTGACAGTTGGGTGATCAGTTTGCTAAAGCTAGCACATAGTTGTGATTGAGGGAATAAAATGGTTTTTGAGGGGAAGCTGGAGAAACAAGGCTGTGAGGGAAAAGAAGGCATCTGGGGTTGCGTGGGACCGAGTTCAGTTTTGTTGTTTATTTCCAGATGCAGAAAGAAGGCTCACATTTCATGGTTTCATCCGACATCAAAACAATGGATGGTACAGATCAGGACAATAATGCTTAGCTGGTGGCCACCTGACCTCCGTGACAATGGGTCCCTGTTGTAGAAAATTGTATGAGTGGCTTATTTTAACTCTGTCCATTGGTCAGAAATTTGCTGAGGTTCTGGAGGCAACACTGCACAAATAGAAAGAGCAGCTCCAATAGACCGTGGCAGGTACAGAGAGAAGGCAGGAAGCATCTGTCCCCCGCCTCCCCTCCCCATCCTTCCACACCAGCAGTTTTGCTCTTGGGACCAGAATTAGGGTGCCTCCATCTATAGCTTATCTTGACCCTCTTAGGACCCATGAGAACATGGCAAGTTCCTTCGATGCTCTGCCTCTCATTTCCCACAGCCCTAACAGAAAACAATCATGTATATTGTATTAATCAGACGAAGGTGCGTACCACACAGAAATAGAGGCTCAAAAATGTTATTATATGGTGTCCCTCTCTGGAGGGGAAGAACTCCTAGAGGGCTTCTCTGAAAAAAGATTCTTGACTATTTCATCACCAAACACCATGCTGTCTTCCTTTTTGTCTGAAAGTTATGGCCTTTGGTAGTTTTAAGTGTATTTAACTCGAGGTAGCAATATCCTGCTTTTAAACTCACTGTGATGGATTGCATTGAGTCCCTATAAACGATATGTTCAAATCCCAACCCCGATACCTGTGAATTTGATCTTATTTGGAAATAGGTCCTTTTCAATCCCCCAAGGGAAGATGAGATCATGCTGGAGCCCTAATCCAATGACTAGTGTCTTTATAAGAAGAGAGAAATTTCAGCTGGGCACGGTGGCACACACCTCTAATCCCTGCTACTCAGGAGGCTGAGGCAGGAGGATTGCAAGTTCAAGGCCAGATTTGGCAATTTAGTGAGACCCTGTCTCCACACAAAAAGGATGGGGGATGTAGCTCAGTGTTAGTGTGTCCCTGGGTTTCATTTCCAGTCCCATCTCCCCCTCCCCACACACACAAAAAGAGAAGTCACGGACCCACATGACAGGGGGATAGTGTCACCAAGGAACACTGAAGACTGCAGCAACCACTAGAGCCTTCAGCGGGGGCGGGCACTGCCCACACCTTGACTGTGAACTTGCAGCCTCCAGACCCATAAGAGAACACATTTATGTTGTTTTCAGCCTCCCAATTTATGCTAATTTGCTACAGCAGTCTTATAGGAAACTAATACACTAACCAAAGGACTATACTTCTTTGTCTCGGCTTATTTTAATTGGTAGAATAGAATCATTACTCTCAATAGCTTTGAGATATCTGAAGAAAATTTTGATATGATCATGAATATATCCTATTTTTAAAAGTTTTTGTTTCGTTTTGTTTTTTGTTTGGGGTACCAGGGATTGAACCCAGGAGTGCTTAACCACTAAGCCACGTTTCCAGCCCTTTATTTTTTTATTCTGAGACAGGGTCTCGCTGAGTTGCTAAAGCTAGCTTTGAACTCGAGATCCTCCTGCCTCAGCCTCCTGAGCCGCTGGAACTATTGGCGTGTGACACTTCATCTGGCTAATATATTCTATTTTTACCTTAAAAGAATATATACTTGTGTTGCAGCAGCCATGTGTGGATTGAGTTAGTAAGATCCTAGGAAAGGGACAGCATTGTTGCCCCTGTGGCAGGGAAAAGCCTGGTACCACCACCATGTGGACCTTGGGCTTCACCCTCTGTAACACTGCCTCTATGGAGGCTGCCTCCTCGCTTTTCTTGTTTGACTGACTTCCCTTTCTTCAGAATTTTCTTTTCCTTGGTACTGGGGATTGAACTCAAGGGCACTGAGCCACATCCCCAGCCCTGTTTGTATTTTATTTAGAGCCAGGGTCTCCCTGAGTTGCTAGCACCTTCCCGTTGCTGAGGCTGGCTTTGAACTTGCAATCCTCCTGTCTCAGCCTCCAGAGCCGCTGGGATTATAGGCGTGCACCACCACGCCTGGCGTCTTCTTCAGAATTTATTTGCACAATTTCCTCAAGACGTCTTCTTGGTACTGACAGTAATTCTTGTTCTGATGCCATCGATGATATCTCAAAAAGGTGTTATTTTCTGTTCTGTCAGGGTGTCAGGTGTTTATCTCTAACCATTTGTGGACTTGTGGCAGCTTGTTAAGCCATTTACTTGTTTTTTGTTTGTTTATGTTTTTGGTATAAGGGATTGAACCTAGAAGCACTTAACCATTGAGCCACATCCCCAGCCCTTTTTAATTTTTTAAAATACCTTTATATATTTATTTTTATGTGGTGCTGAGGATTGAACCCAGTGCCTCACACATGCTAGGTGAGTATTCTACCACTGAGCCACACCACCCTTTTTAAGTTTTATTCGGAGACAGGGTCTTGTTGAGTTGCTTAGGGTCTCACTAAGTTGCTGAGGCTGACCTCAAACCTGCAATCCTTCTGCCTCAGCCTCCAGAGCCACTGAGAATAAAGGCGTGTGATGATGAGTGTAAGGAGAATGCACGGAAGCACTGTGACACTGTAGTATTTTTGGCAATGTGTGAAATTGTTGTAAACCCTTGACCTTATGTTTCCCAACATCTCCCACTATCTCAATGAGTCAGACAGAAACTTGAGCTGACACTAAGCACATGGCCTGAAACAGTCCCATCACTTAATGGTCACACCATCTCTGTCTTCTACTTTATGACTTTTAAAAGGCTGTATTTTGCCTGTTGAGAGAGGAATCTGCTGTTTTGATGGCAGGAAAATGTAGCATGCTCACTTTCTGGCTTTGGTGTCAGCCCTTTTCTGGAGCATCAGGGACATTTCTTGTTCCTTATGCTCAAAGAAAAACATGAGTAGATTTTCTTTAAGTGTACACACTTTGGGCTCTCATTCTGACTCTAACACTTAGGCTTTTGTGTCTCCCCTTATTGCCCTTTTTTGTTTGTTTTCATATGGCCATACTTTCCTGAAGGGAAAGTGAGGAACCAGGAGAGGGGTGAGCGAGAAATGAAAGACGGAGACCAGGCAGAGATACACACGCGAGTTTGTGTGTCCAGCTGACAAATAAAGGCCATCTCTCTACAGCGGAGAGGCAAACCAGGCTTGGGTTCTGGGACTTTATGGGGCAGACTCAGGGCCCAGCTCAGAGATGGGTGGGTCCTAACGCAGGTGGTTAGGGGTTGAGTTGGTATGAGGGAGAAGTGAGCTTTCTCAGAAAGGCCCTTGGATGGGAAAGTGAAACTTTTTCCATATGCTCTCTCCACCACCCAGTTGTGTGAGGGATTGGTATTTCTGTAACAAAAACTGGTTTAAGTTTGATTAAAGATTTTTTTGGATCTGGTTTTGAACCAATCTAATGACACAGGGGGCATGCATCTGAAGTGCCCAGTGGAGAAGGGGGTTACTTAGCTGCCATCCTTCAGCAGAGGAGAGCTATTGTTTCTGACGTCCAAGGTCCAGCTGGAATTGTTTTATCTTGTCCTTTACTGTAGCAGATTGATTGACATAAAGATAGCAGTCCTCCTGTGGTACAAAGTCTGCCTTTTGGGGCCTTAAAAAGATCAAGGCCCCTTGGATTCTGCTAAAGAATCAAGCTGGGGTTGTATGGTTCGTGTGGTTTGAGCAAGTTGCTGTAAGTCTCCTAGAAATTGGAATGGTAAATCCTGGTAATGGTCCCCCTGGGAGGTGAGTGCAGAATGAGGGAGGAGGGCAAAAATGAAAAAGGGAAGGATGGTACTCAGGGTTCTGCAGTGTGCTGGTGGTCCCCAGAGACCAAAGGAAGATTGGGGGTTCCAGCCTTGGAGAAACACAGCTTGAGAGGGCCTGTGGGTGTCACTTTATAAAAGGGTGGAAAAATCCATTTTACACGGGAGTTATGAACCCAATATGGGATGCCCTCAAGATGGGCCACAGAGGGAGTGGTAAGAATAACCCAATAGGGTCCATTTTGTGGAGAGTCGAGAGGAGGAGGGAGACTTGTTGATGGGGATAGTTAAAAGGTACCAGGTCATCAGGAGACAGAGTGGGGGAAGGGGAAGAGGAGAAACTAGGCTTTGCCAGAAGAGCATCACTGTATTGCCAAAGAAGGTTCCTAATGTATGCAAAAAGGGGCCAGAAAAGATGAGGAGCAAGGGGTGGTGGAGAATCAGAGGGTGGTGAGCTGAGCAGGGAGATGGGCTGTCCATATAGAAGCTCAAAGCCGGAGATGTTGAGTGGCTTCTTTGGGAGGGCCCATAACCTAAGAAGAGCCAAGGGAAGGAGTTTAGTGTAATCTAAATGTAATTCAAGGGATAGTTTAGTGAGAATGTTCTTCAAGGTTCAGTTGGTACGTTCCATCTTGCCAAAGGACTTTGGATGGTAATGGATATGAAAATGCCAGGAGATGCTGAGTGCCTTAGCTACAGACCGTGAAACATGGGAAGTAAATTTAGGACCATTATCAGACTGGAGTGAGGAGGGGAGGTGGGAAAGAATGTGTTCAACGAGGACAATGGCCACTGTGGGGGCACATTTATTGGTGGTAGGAAAAGCCTCCACCCATCCTGAGAAGGTGTTGACAAGTACCAAGAAAAATTTGTACTGCTTGACTGGGAGGCGTATGGGTGAAATCCAGCTACCAGTCAGAGCAAGGAAGATGTCCTCTTGCCTGGTGTCAAGGAAGGCAGGTTGGTGGAGACTGGAGGTGGGATTAGTGTTTTGGCAGATTTCACAGGAGACAGAGAGGATAGAGAGAATTTGTAGGTTCCCTGGAGAGAGTTTAAGGTGGGAAGTGAGAAACTGTTTTAAAGATGTGGTGTTGGGTGAAAGAGGTTGTGAAGGAAGGTGAGCATCTGTTGAGTGTCAGGTGGGGACGAGTCCACAGGGGACTAGCAAGGCCAAGGACCGCAGGTGGAGGAGGCTGTGGGAGGGTGGTGGCCCTCACCTCAGTCTGCCTTGTTGTTGCCTAGTGTCACACAGGAGGTGTCTGTCTGATGGGATTTACAATGTGAGATTCCCAGACAGAGGGAAACTTTGAGGTCTGAAGGAGATCAGAGATAAAGGGGACATTAGTAACTGAGGTTCCCTTACTGGTAAGGAATCCAGGCTCCGTCCAAATAGCAGAGTCGGAGACAAGTATGTGGAAAGCGTATTTAGAGTCAGTGTAGACGTTGAGGGAGGCTCTCTTTGCCAAAGTGAAGGCTCTGATGAGGACAACCAGTTCAGCCTGCTGATTGGATGTATTACTGGGGAGGGGAGACACTTTCACAACCAAGGTTAGAGACTGTAGCATACCCTTCCCAAAGGACTCTCTCCTGAAGGAAGGAGGAGCCATCTGTAAACCATGTGTGTGTTGCCTGGAGCAAGGGGCCTTCCTGTATGGGGGAGGGATGTGGAAGAAGCTCCTCCAGAGTTTCAATGCATGAATGGGTTAGAGGAGAAGAGCAGGAGGAGAGTAGCAGGGTTTAAAGATGAGCACGTGTGGACACTAAGACTGGGATCTTCCACCAGGGAAATCTGTGTAGAGATAAAGGCGACAAGGGGATAAGGAATGTAAGCCCTTTGATGTGAGGAGTTCCTTTAGATGATGGGGAGTCAGAATGGTGAAGGGGGCCCCAAAGGTGAGTTTCTTTGACTCGTTAATGAGTAGAGAGGCTGCGGCCAATGTTCATAGGCAAGGGGCCCTCCCCAAACAGTAGGAGCAAGACCCTTCAATAGATAAGCCACAGAGGCAAAGGTTGGCCCCAGCATGTGTCCGAGGACCCCTAGAGCAAATCCCTGCTTTTCAGCCACATAAAGGTGAAATGGGTGTGTGAGATCAGGGAGATGGAGAGCAGGACCTAGTGAAGGGCTTTGTAACAGAGGTAATAGGGGTTCAGAGAGGAGGCCCTGGGCTGCATCATATACACGCTTAGCCAATATAGAGTAGTAAGGAATCCAAGCTCTGGGGAATCCTGCCATACCTAGAAAGGAGGGAATTTCTTCCTTAGAAGGGGGTGTTGGTATATTAGTGATAAGGCTCTTTCTATCAACCGTAATGGGTTTGTGTGTAGGGCTCAGGAGAAAGCCTAGGTATATTACCATTGCCAAGGAAAGCTGTATCTTGGATGGAGAAACCCTATAGCCATGGGCAGAAAGGGAAGTTAAGAAGTTTATAGGTGTCCTGAAGGCTGACCTGCAAAGAAGGAGGTCATCAACATACTGTAGCACCATAGACTGAGTGAGATGTGTGGATGCTAGGTCCTTAGCCAAGGCCTGTCCGAAGGTATGAGGGCTGTCTTAGAACCCTTGGGGGAACTGTCCCCGCCTGCTGAGTGGAGTTATAAGACTCAGGGTCAGTCCATGTAAAGGTGAAAATGTCTTGAGAGTCAGAATGGAGGGGAATAGAGAAGAAGGCATCTTTCAGGTCTAGCACTGAGCAGTAAGAGGTCCCAGAAGGAATGGTGGAGAAAAAGGTTTAAGGGTTGGTTACCACAGGATGGATTGGGACAACTGCAGAATTGATAGAATGGAGGTCTTAGACCAAGTGGTAGGAACCACTGGGCTTTTTTTTTTTTTTTTTTTTTTGGCAAGATGGGGGTGTTATAAGGGGAATGAGTAGGTCTAAAAAATCTCTTTTGCAAGAGGTCTTGAATGATAGGCTGCAAGCCCAGGAGTTTCTGTCAGGAGAGCAGGTACTGTGATTGGGCCAGAAAATGGAGGGGGTCTTTGAGATAGATATGAATGGGCTCGTGGTGTGAGGTGATAGAAGGACTTGAAACATCCCAGATAGTAGGGTCCACCTCGGAAGGGGGTAATGGGAAGGCACTGGCAGATGGAATAGGGGATGGTCCTAAGGTCAGGGTGAGGATCAGGGGAGCGGCAGGTGAGTCTGGATGGAAGCATGTATGAGGGGAGAAGGAAAGCATAGCCCCCAACTTTGTGAGGTTGTGCCTTCCAATAAGGGGAACAGGGCACTGTGAATGACCAAAAGGAGTAGGTAAAAACTAGAGAGCCAAAAACGCAAACAAGGCTAGGTGCCTGTAAAGGTTGGTAAGGTTCACCCTCTACCCCAACAACAGAGGTCATAGAACCAGTAGTAGGCCTTCAGAACTCCTTGAGGACTGAATATGTAGTCCTGGTGTCTAGGAGGAGGGAGACAGGTCTACCTGAAATATGCAGAGTTACCCTGGGTTCTCGAGGAGTGATAGTAGTGGTCAGGTGATGGGGACCTGGGCCTCGTTCATCCTCTGCAGACAGTCCTAAGAGTTGGAAAAGCCAGTCCTAAGAGTTGGAAAAGGGAACCAGAAGAGCTGGATGGATAGGGGCCGCGATGGGCTTGGGATAGCCAATGGCCCAGTGTCCCTCCTGATGGCATTTAGGATAAGGGCCGGGAGGCTTGCGAGGCTTCGGACATGTATGAGCCCAGGGACCCGTCTGACCACATTTAAAACAGGGTCCGCGTGGTCTCGAGGTACGCTTCCACAGGCCAGTGGAACCAGGGACAGATGCTAAGACTGGACGGTTGGCTTGAGAAAGTATCTGATATTTCTGCTTTTGGACCTTCTCACTATACACCTTAAAGGCCACTTTCAAAACCTCAGCTTGGGGAATTAGAGGCACCTTAGTTTGGCCTTAATATTGGGGAAACTCTGGGGAAAAAAAGTAGGTCATTAGTAGTTGTTTCCTATCTGGAGTCTGGATTAGTATATTGTAATAAAGCCTTGGTTAGGCGATCTAAAAATGCTAAAGGTTTTCATTCTTACCTTGAATGATTTCCTGGAGCTTTTCATAATTGATAGCCTTATGGGCTGCCTTTCTAAGTCTTGCCATGAGGCAAGTAATAAATTGGTTTCTACTAGTTACTCCTTTAGGCAAATTATAATCCCAATTGTGGTCCCAATCAAGGAGTGCTTCAGTGCCAATCAGATGGGCAGGGTAGATCTGATGTACCTCATCAGCATAATTCCTAGCTTGCTCCCAAACTCACCTGCACTCCTCCTTAGACAAGATTATATGGACATTGTGGAAGGTCAAGTCATATGATTGAGTCAGATATTGAAACTGTCTGATATATATGTGGTGGGGCTTGAATTATAGGACTCAAGCCACTTTTCTATCTGTGAAAGGTCTAACAAAGAGAAAGGCACATGAACCCAGATTACACCATCTATCCCAGCCAACTAGCATAGAGGACACAGAGATGAGGGTTGGGCAGTGGCAGCCCACGAGTGTGTGGTGAGAGGAGAGAAGCGTGGAGGGGCTGAGGGGACAGTTGCTGCAGAGGCTTCATTAGAAAGAATTGTGGTATGGTGGGGGCTCATCTGCTGGGTTGAAGGAGGATTCCTGAGTAAGATCTTCTGTCCCTTTGGAAGCAGTCATAGGGGAGGTGAGAGCTAAGAGGATTTTTGTGGGAGAGCAAGAGTTGCAGAGAGAGGGTTTAGAATGTACAAAGAAAAAGGCCTGAACATATGGTATCTCTTTCCATTTTCCCTAGTTGCCCACAATAGTTGAAAAGATCTGTGATAATAACGGGATCCAGGGTGCTGTTAAGTGGCAATTCAGAATCGTTATCCAAAGGATCTGATTTCCCAAGCGGATAGGTTTACATGGTTTAGGTTCTGGGTGAGAGAGAGACCCTAGGTTAGCCAGGAGGCAGCCTAGGGACTATGGGAGGGAATGGGATGAGGAGTTGTCCATAGTAAGACCTAGGAGGTGAGTTTAGAGGTGGGGTGTCCCCCAGTCTCTAGTATTACCCAGTCAAGAGGATGGTTACACTCAGGGTCATCATTGCTGTTGGGTAAATGTCAGGGCAGGAGCCTGTAGAGGCACTTGGGCACCTGGCCAGGACTATGTAGTAGGGGTAGAAGCCTGTAGAGATTAACCCAAGGTTTAGAGGTAATCTCATCAGGAACAACTCACAATCACCCTTCGTGGCTTTTTCTCAAAACCCAGAACCCAAATAAAAGACCACCTACAGACTCGATTGACAGTAGGGATCAGACATAGCTGTGAAAGTTGTGGCTGGGGGTGCCCCCAACCATGCGGTAATCCTGGGAGTGCCGGACATTCAAGGTCATTTCCCAGGACCTGTAGTTTGTTTAGGTCAATCAGAGACAGGGGCTTACCTGGAATGTCCAGTTGTGGGTGTAGAGAGGGCGTTTAGCAGAATGAGTGCCTGGTCTCACGATGGAATTTGGATCGGAGCTTGGGGACCCTCAGTGACCCTCGAAGAGGCGAGTGGGCACACCAGGGAACACTATCCCGGATTTCAGCACCAAACTGAAGGGAAAGTGAGGAATGAGAGATGAGTAATCGAGAAATGAAAGAGACTAGGCAGAGATACACATGAGAGTTTATTTGTCAGAGCTGACAAATAAAGGTCATCTCTCTATAGAGGAGAGAGGCAAAACAGGCTTGGGGTTCCAGGAGTTTTATGGGAGGGCTCAGGAATCAGAGTGGATGGGTCCTAATGTGGGTGGTTAGGGTTGGGTTGGTATGAGGGAGTGGTGAGCCTTTCTCAGAAATGCCGTTGGGTGGGAAAGCAAAATTTTTCACTTAAAATGGCGGCTCTCACTTAATATGGCCATCCAGATGCTAAGCAAGGACCTCATAACATCCATTGGTCTTCTCTCCTGTATGAATTTGTTCATGTTGTGAACATTGTTTACATTCATGGGCCTTCTCTCCTGTATAAATTCATTTATGGTGCCAAAGGGAAGTAGAAGAAACAAAGACTTTCCCACATTGGTGACATTCATAGGGCTTCTCTTAAGTATGAGTTCGTTTATGTGTCTGAAGTTGTAAAGAAGGAGTAAATGCTTTCCCACATTGTTTACATTCATAGGGCTTCTCTCCAGCATGAGTTCGTTTATTTTGACAAAGGGAACTGTAAGAAGCAAAGGCTTTCCCACATTGCTTACATTTATAGGGCTTCTCTCCAGTATGATTTGTTTATGTTCTGAAAAGCAAGTAGAAGAAACAAAGGCTTTCCCACATTGTTTACATTCATAGGGCTTCTCTCCAGCATGAGTTCGTTTATGTCTTTGAAGGGAAGAGGAAGGACTGATGGCTTTCCCACATTGTTTACATTCATATGGCCTCGCTCCACTATGTTTATGTACTTGAAGGTAAGAGGATTGAATGAAGACTTTTCCAAATTGGTTACATCTGTAGGCTGTCTCTCCAGTATGAGATTGTTTATATTTTTGAAAATACGTGGAACAACTACACTCTTTTCCACATGTCAGACATTCATAAGTTTTGTTTACAATGTGCACTAATGCTAGCCTTTGAACACTTGTAAAAGAAATTACAGATGTTCTGTTCAGTTTAAGTTTATATGGCTTCCTTCCAATCTCCTCATTCTCCTGTGGTTTGTTTGTAGAGTGGGATATAATGTGCCTATTAAGGAAAAAATATATATATGAAGACTTGTCTATACATATTCCTTACACATGAAATTACTCTAGTGGAAAAGCTCTGGTGAAGACTAAGATTTGGGATCCCACTAGAGGTACTTCCACACTGAGTACCTGTTTTAATTTTTCCAGAACCTACCATATGACTTCTGTAAAAACATTATATGGAAATTTATGGTTGGCTCATTAACACTTTTATATTAATGAGTTGGTGTTGTACTTACACTATTACCAATGTCAGGGAAAGTATTTGTTTTCTGTCATGTCCAAACTGTTTGAAAATACTGATTCTCAGAGCTAATATCAAAACGGTAGTATCATGAGAACATTTTACAGCTTTGTCAATTAATCAATTATTTGTGAAAACATGTATTGTACATTAAAGTTCATATTTCTGGTTAAATGAGAATAACTATAATTCATATCATGGTTGTTTTCTATGCTTGTGTTGTAAAATTATAGGACATGTTACAATTCCCTCAAGACACTGTTTCCTCTAGTGAACACAAATTACCTTAGATCTCTCCTGGGATTTGTGTTCTGATCTTCCCATTTGTCTCCTAAAATATAGACACAGAACAATCATTATAAATCATCATGATTTCAGAATAAATTATGGAATTTATAATATGAACAACTCTAATGCAAAAATAAAAATGAAGGAAAAAGGAAAAAAATATGGGATTTATGCAGCAGAGTGCAAGACATTAGGCCCAATATACTCTCCAATGCAAACCCATTCCACATTCCAAATCCATGAGAAAAAAACTCCTACTTGCCAGGCCTTGTGGCCAATACCTGTAATCCCAGCAGCTTGGGAGGCTGAGGAAGAAGGATCTGAAGTTCGAAGCCAGCCTCAGCAACTTATGGAGGCCTTGTCTCTAAATACAGTACAAAAAAGGATGTGGGTCAGTGGTTGAACACCCTTGAATTCAATCCTTGGTTTAAAAAATGAAGAAAAAACAAAACCCTCCCAATTACTCAGTGTTTGATTATGTAATGAAACATCATCCTTACGTATAGAATCCAGGTTGCTAAGGATTTCCTGCATCACATCTCTGTAGAGATTTTTCTGGGAAGGATCCAGCAGAGCCCACTCCTCCTGTGTAAAGTTCAAAGCCACATCCTCAAAGGCCACTGAATTCTAAAATATTCCAGAAAAGTGTAGTGCAGGCCAGGAGAAATTGACAGCATTAGGGCTCTATTCCCATCATGTGGTAAAACAACATGCTGTGGAGGTTTGTAGCCCAGGAACCACCAACACCACAGAGCCTAGGTGTGCAAGAGGCTGTGCCATCCAGGATCATGTGAATAGAGAATGATGTTTGTGCAATCATGAGGCAGCCTACATATATTCCTCAAGAATGCATCCCTGTATTTAAGTGACACATGACTGTACATCTAGGTCTTTCCAATTATGACACTCCAAGCAGCACCGTATTAGCAGACACAGGAAAAAGGAACCAAGAGACAAGAAAGTTTTCAGGGGGTGACCTTATAAGGAACGCCGATTGATGACATAACAGGTATTCTAGAAGGGGAAAAAAAAATCACAAGCAATATGAAACATGGGCCAAGACAAACCTAATTGCAAAAATGCGTTTCAGTCCTATTTCACAATTCTAAATTCTCCCATCAAAGAAAATCAAAACAACACTCCCAGAAGTTTAGAGGAAATGATTTGAGAGGAATAGAAAAACCATTTTTACCTAAGAAGAGTAAACAGTAATGGAGAAGAATGAGAAAATCAAATACATTAAAATTAAGGGAATTAGAAGATGAAAAACATTGCAGGAGAAACCTGCAATAATACGACCTCAGAGAGCCGGGCACAGAGTGAGGTGAGTAAGTGCACGTCGGTCAGGAAACAGCCAGGAGGAGGAACAGCAGGTGAGAGCCACGAGTGGAGAAAGGACCACCTCTCCTCTCCGTGAAGAGGAAAGCCCGGGAGAAGGCCAAGCAGGTGAGGCTTGACACCACCTGCAGGACAAGGACCCCTCAGTCAGGGAGCGAGAAGGAGGAGTCGGAGGACAGCTGGCACTGCATGGTACTTCCCCTTACCTGAAATTTACTATGACCTACAGCCCAGTGATTTTTATGACTACTTTTACAAATTCATGATGTTTTTCCTCTAGAAACACCACCAGTATATTACAGTGAAGAGCTCTCTCTCTCTCTCTCTCTCTCTCTCTCTCTCTCTCATACATAAACACACACACACACACACACACACACACACACACACACACACAAGCTTACTGCTTAAAGCATGGCAAAAAGATGGCATTTTCCAGTATGCCCAGAGAACTCCATCCTTCCTGAGCCCTACATTCAAAAGAAACTATCTCCGAAGGCTGAATCACCCAAGATGTTAGGAGCCAAACTTTCTGGGGGAAAGAGAAGCACCTAGCTCCATCCCCCGCTAACCTTCCTTTCTAATCAGGGAGGAGAGAGGGCTGAGGATTGGTCATGAAGAATGGCCCTGGAAGGCCTGCGTGTCCTGAACCCAGGCCAAGGCAACAGTCAACAGAATGTCCCCCCCGCCAAGACACTGTGTCAACAGCAGAATACCTCCATCACAACAGCATGGAAGAAGGAACTGTAGGTGTCACACCTCAGTTAACAACTTCCCAAGGGTACAACAGATGGACCAACACTGAGGAAGTGGACAGATGTCCAGAAACATGCCATGCTTAGAAGAAGGAGGAAATATGAACAGTTCTGAGATGGACACCATTGATCACCCTCAACAAATGAAAACCCAGGACCAAGTGGTTCACTTCTGAAATACCAAACATTCACAACAATTAATACATATCTCCTTCAAATACTTTTTGAAAACTGAAGAGGAGAAACTACTCCCTGTATCACTCTTTGAGGCCAAAATTCTGCTCATTATGTATACAGAAAAGTGCAGATAAATATCTTTCATAAGTGCCTATGCAAAAATCTTCAGGGCTGGAGTTGTAGCTCATTGGTAGAGCACTTGTCTCATAAGTGTGAGGCACTGGATTCAATCCTAAAACCACAGAAAAACAAATTTTTTAAAATCTTCATATAAATACCAACAAACCATTTTTGGAGGTACATTTAAAGAATTATACACTGCTTCCAAGAAATAGGTATCCCTGAAATGGACGATGGGCGGACACATGAAAATCAATCGATGTGACAGAGCATTAGCAACATGACTAAAACACAGAGCCATCTGAATTGATACAGAAAAAGCATTTGAAGAAGACAACACACTCATTGACCACAAAAACAAACTGGGGATTCATTCAACATAATCAGAGGCGATATGTGAAAAGCACAGAGGACATCATGTCCAACGGTAAAATCAAGAAAAGCTCTCTCTAGGAACATGAGATCTGCTCCTTTCACCAGGTCCTTCCAAGGCAGCAATAGTAACAGTGGCTAGGGGAAATTATGCACGGAGAAAAGAGTGGAAAAGAGATGCACCCAATTGGAAAAGAAAAAGTAAAATTATCTCCCTTCACAGATAATCAGTTGCATACACTGAAAATGAGTAACCTTAGAAAGGTATTGAAAAATAATATCAAGAATAAAAAAAATTAGGTATTAACCAAGAATGAGGATTTTATACTGAAAACTATAATATGTTCCTAAAAGAAATGAAATGAGACACAAATAAATGAAAATATACCTAGTGATCATGAGCTCAAAGCATTACCATCTTAACGACCGCCGAGGGGAGCCTGGGTAGAGGCAGCAGCACGCATGCTCTGGGGCAGGATGATCTAGAGCTCCCGCTAAGCAACAAGGCAGGGTCAGCCTCTGAGAAAAGGAAAGGGCAACCGTCAGAATCGCTGTCACAACTGACCACAATACTGGGGGGAGAAGTGGCAGGAAGCTGCATGAGACCCAAAAAAGAATATCTCCCCACCAATTTAGCCACAGACTACCTGTGGTCAATGACAGAGGAAGCTGCTCGGCAATCCATGGGCATGGAGAGATGGTCCCCAGATTGTGGCAGCCACCCACCAAAGGCTGTGAGGAGGAGTTGCCTGAGTCCCCAGAAGTTGAAGGCGAAGTGCCCACATTGTCCACATAGACATCAGGAGGTGGGTCAAAGCAGAAAGTTGTCCGGGCTAAGGCAGCAGAGAGAAACAGCTCCCAGCCTGAGCCACTGTGGCCACAGCTGGGAAATGTTGGCACTGTTTGGACACTAGCTGGACGCTGTGCCTCAGTCACTCAGCAGAAGGAGTGGGCACCTGCTGTTGATGACCTTGGGCAAGTTAGAACCCAGGGGACCAGTGGAACCTCTGTACTCAGGACTGAGGACAGCACCCCAGTAAGCCGTGCTGGCCAGGGGGGACATTTTTGAACCACAGATGACTTGCAGAGAACTCATAGCCACAGGATCTGTGTTCAGACACAGCTGCCAGGCTCCACATCACCATGAAAAGCATCCTGCTGAGGACAGCAGGTACTCGCTTACCCACAGCAACCATCATAGAACCTAACAGACAAGGCTGCACCCCTGGGCAGTCAACCACAGGCCCTGGGGATGGTACCAGAACTGCCCGGAGGAGGTCCACAGCAATGAGCCGAGTGCTTTCCGTGTCCTAGCATCTCTGGAGGGACCCACAGCTAAAGAGTGACAGATGTCATTTACATGTCCCAAAAAATAATGAAATCCAAACTGAGATTCAGCAAGAGTTTTTGTTACCTTGGCATGTTTTACTGCAAATAATTCTAATGTCAATATTTTTTTTTGTAATTGGTGTTGAACCCAGGGGCACATAACCACTTAGTCACATCCCCCAACTATTTTGATATTTTATTTAGAGAGGAACTATGGAATGAAATGGAATAAAATATGCTATGTGCCTCTATAAATATATCACAGTGAATTCTGATATTACATTTATCTATAAAGAAGGTCATTTCCAAATGAGAAACACAGATAGGGCTGGAGCTGAGGGAGCACAGATATGTCAGGCTCAAGGGGCAGGTAAGGTTCTGGACAGCTGGGGACCCTCTCACCTGGTCTTGCTCATTGCAACATTCCATGATCACCCTCCCACGAGACCTGGACCCTGACTCCACTCTATGAGGCTTTTCAGGTTTGCACAGCACTGCACTGGGGTGGGAGGTTCTTAAGCTTTGGCAGAGTTTTTGATCCTTCACAATTGTGAGAGAACACAGGGGAGAGAAATCACTGCTGACCTGGCCCCTTAGCACCAGCATCTACAGGCTGATGTCCACCTGACTACAAGAAGTGGGAACAGGAGTGACAATGTCCCAAGGAGGCAGCAGTAGAGATGAGGCCTGTTACAGAGATTCCTCAATTCCAGGACCCCCAGCTGCTCCCCTGAAAGGATACACCCCAAACCTCAGGCTGTCCTCTAGGAGGAGCTGACCCACGGCATGAAATTCCCTGCACCTGCAGGACACAGGGTAACTGTGGGCACCTTGTGGCAGCCCCAGGAGAGGCCAGGACAGTGGCTCGGGACACAAGGCCCTGTAAAGTATCCAAAAGGAATCTGTGCCCAAAGATATTAAGGTGTCTGTACTGGGAAAAGATAAAGGAAGACCCAAAGAGTTTTAATAGTGGAGTTCCATCTTTCCCCTCATGGTAGATATTCACAAATAAGAAACAAATTTTTAAAAAAGTATCATGCATCATTCAGTGAAAAAGTGATAATTAAAATACTGTGCCCACTTGAATGTAGTGAGGGGAACAGTTGATAATGCTGTGAACCGGAGGAGGAGTTGGAGTCTGGAAATGTTGGCAGATATGCAAGTTTAGGGGTTCACTGCCAGCCCTAAGAGGGGCTAGGCTGGGGAAAGGAAAGGGAGACCCTGTTTCCCAAACATGTGGAAGATGGGGTGGGAAAGTTAGAGACTCCTAGGGGAGGAGGAGGGATGGTGACCCCTAGACCAATAACCTCAAACACAGGAACCCCATCCCTGGGACAGTATCCCCTGAAAATGGTCTGCCTTCATTGCACACTGAGAGACTAGGGCTGGGGTCCAGCTGAGAAGAGAGGATTCTGCCAAAGTGGCTGCAGACCAGACAGCACACTGGGAGCCCAAACGGGACCAACCCACACCATGGCCTGACGGCATCAAGGGCTGAGCTGTAGCAACATCTCCCTCAGGCCTGGATTGACTGAC